AATAACAAACACCGCCCCCTCTTCCCATTTAGGATAGTGCAGCCGTGAGTCATCAGCGGCTGAGAACACACACATTGAAAACGCACACGCGGCCAAGGACACTCACACATACAGGTACAGAATCGTACGTGCACAAACACACATCTGGAAGCAACAAATTGACCCAGTTATTACTTAAAAGGCCTAAATTGACTTTTATGAAATAACTGGGGGAAAAAAATAAATCACAGGATGGTTTTTTTTTCTCTGCCTCCTCCACAGATGCTGCTAATGTTTCGCCTTTGTCATCCACAGCAGACCACCAACTCTCAAAGAAAAAACCCAACCACAAACCCATTGTTGCAAACCGAGCTCAAAGTAACAGCGAGAAAATGAGTAAGTACCAGTGTGGGTTGCTGGTGCATGTGAGAGCAATTCAAAATCTCACCTGGATCCTATTAGCACTAGTTTGATTGCTAATATCAACCACATGAGATGATAGTTAACAGTCAGCATGCCTAACTGCTTTGACACACACACACACACACACACAAATTTATCAAAAACCGCCACCCTCATTCAAAGAAGCAGGGGGGACGATGGGAAAAGGGAACGACTCCGCCTGTTACTGTCAGCGGCGATGCTTAAATCTGTATCACACACACACACACACACACACACACACACACACACATATATTCTGTCAGGCAACAAACACTGCATTTACTGAAAAATGCAACCAGCATCGCTCTTAATGCTGCCTGCTGTGCCACATGTGACTTGACATTTCATGTCTAGTCTTAAAGCACTACAGCAGTGAGTATTCCCACATTAGGGACCAGGACGACTGGTTAGTCAGTCCAAGGATCAAGACGTCAACTCTCGTTTCGTTGCTTGTTGTGCTCCCAACCGCATGTGAAGCCCAGTATTGTAGGAATTCTGCAGATCAAGATTTACATCCTTTGGCAAAGTTCGGTGGCAACACAGGAAGTAGGGGGTCTCTTTATGTACCGAGGAGGAACGGTAGGGTGTGGAGATCAGCAACCCTGCTACCAATACATTTTGCTGCTTGGATTAAGTTCCAGTGCAATGTTTGATTGATCGAGGGAAGGGCTACGTTTGTTATGCCTCTCAATTCACAGGGAGGTGTTCAGGGTCGGAGACCGAAGTTTGCATCCTGAATGAATTTTAGGGCAACAAAAGTTTTAGGGCTGATTAAAGGTTCGGGAAATATCATGTTTTTGGTTAAATATGAAAGTAAACGTGGCGTGTCTCGTGCTTCGAGTTTTTTTCTGATCTTTCCCTCAAGTGCTGCTTGTGCCTAAACATTAAAAACATAAAAAGTTTAACTCAGGCTTTCGTTCCAATAATGATGCACTGTCTGCAAGAGTAAACAATCAAATTAAACCATTGTCAGTGAACAATTTGCTGATATGTTCAGTTTCTTTGTTGATACAAAATATTATCTGGCCAGCGTTATATTACTACTAAAACGTATTTGCTGTTACAAATCAGTAGTACATAACCATTAAGGGTTATGGTCGGGGTGTTGGGTGGAAATGTAGAGTGTCTGACCTTCATTGAGAAGACTTGAGTTTGTGCTTTTATTCCAAACCATTACCAGCATCTTTCCCTAACCCTGCCGCAGTTGTCATTGAACGTCAGCCAAGGTTTTTGCCGAATCATCCAACATCAATGTTCCCTCTGGCAACGGGGTTGTTTTATGGGACGCCCTTATTGTTGGAAATTCTCGGAGGACGAGCCTTTTGGCACAATACAATTACAACGAACAGAAACACTTGAACCATTATTTCCATTATCGATTAATCTGTTCATGTTTTAATTGATTGTTTCATCTAAAAAATGCCAGAAAATAGTGGAAAGTTATGGGATCCTGCTTTTCCAGAACAAACGACATTAGGAGTAAATGTGAGGTTTAAACTTTGCATCATCCATCCTATAAAGTAATGACATCTAATACAGCCAAGCTCTCATTTCTCTATTGCTTTGAACTGATCGTCTCTGGAGATCAATTTGTCTGATACGCCTTCTAATGGGTGGGAAAGCTCTAAGAGACCATGAACAATGATTTTCTGAATATTTCACACGACTGCAACATTTCCTCTTTCTAATATGTGTGCCCTTTGGCTAATGTGAGTCAAGCTTTCTAAAGTGTCTAATGTCTTTGCCCTCTGGTGTCATTCATTCTCATTTCAGCATGATAGATGTATTCAATGATATATTTCCAGGAAGAGGGGTTTTCAGACCGCTGGCTTGAATGATAACTGTGGCTCCCACGGAACAAAGTTAGGCTCAATGATAACCAAAACCAACCGAACACAATTCACTCTGGTCTCAACGAACAACGTCCATGAATGACGACACACAAGGTGAATGAACCCTTGCAGCAGTTTGAAAGCAACACAAATTCTATCCGATGAACCAAAATAACCTTCAAATACCAGACCCTGACACCGGCGATGTGAGGGGGACGCACCGTCTCTAAATGAGCCTTGGAGTGCGGGAGGAAAACTAGAATACGAGGAGAGAAAAGAGTAGCAGGGGGATAAAGACAGAGAAAGAGTGTTTGATTGTGTGTGTCTCCTTTGCTTATGTGTCCTTTGGAGCATCCCCAGGCCTGTCTACTCCGTTCTCTCAGCGACCGAAGCCGATCGGCTCCGCGCTGTGAGCCTACATGGTTTTAGCCGGGGCCGGCACAGACAGACAGCTGCTATTAAACCCTGATTGTTTCAGGTTCACAGGGTGTGAAAGGGTCTGATTGAGGGGCTGTGATCCCAGTGAGGGTGGTCTTTCTGCCCCGCTCTCTCCCTCCCCCCTCCTCCCTCACCTCCCTCTCACTGGAAGGTGGGAGGGTGTTGGGGAAAAGGAGGCGGGGGATATGTCTGTGTATGGGGGGGGGATTGCAGGCATCACGTGACTCATGTTTCTTGCTGAGCGGACCAAAATGGAATCTGGAAAAAAACAGGCCACTTGTTGCTGCCTGCCTCTCTGGGTACCAATGTATCAGAGAACTAGCGGCTCGATTAAAAAACATCATTAACGCCAGGGAGATCTACAAGGAGTCCATGTTGAGATATTTTTGTCCTGATGAACTGTCATCGCTCCAGCTGCCCCTGCTTTAAATGTTGCTAAAAAGGAGTTTCGGAGATATCAGCCGCAGAGATGTCTGCCTTCTCTTCAATATAACGGGACTATATGGCACTCGACCGCTGAAATAAACTAGGCAACTCACACCAAAATAATCCAGATTGATAAATAGCTCTACAGGTAAGAGGTGAACTGTCCCTTTAAGTGTACAGATTAAACATACCGTCCTTCACCTACCTTTGTTTATACTGTCCTAATGGGAGAAGGAATTCATCCCACTACATTCAATTGTATTCAGGCTGATAGAGACTTATCAGCGCTCTGATATGGCGGTGATAAACCACATCAGTCCTCCCCTGTGACTGGATAGGAGGACAGTCGCTTCCTGTATGGTCTATTTGTTTAAGAGCATTCCCATTAAGGAGCATTTTGGCTTTAACACACTTGATAAAGACCAGGGAGGGTGAGGAAGCTCCCCTGCAGAGCTTTTCACATGTGGCCAAAGGACAAGTGCACTTTCCTCCTTCGAACCCCCCCCCCTACCATGTCTCAACCTTGAGAAGGGCCCCGAGTTCTCCTCTGTAAAAAGCTGAACCCATGCCGTTTACTTGATTATATTTTCTGTTTTCCTGTAATCAAACGAAACATCTAAAAAGGGTACTTACACGCTTGTTTTCCAGTTCTCAACATACGGAAACGGAAGTTTCACAAAACATCATAACCTCTGACCTCTACACTCTCTTGTCCAGTCTAATGAATTACAATGATAGATAATTATTAGTCAGTACGTAATCCACAACTTCACTTAATAACGTGCAAATAAATCATTGTCTCTCCCTCCCATGTTTTTGGAGATCTACTAAAGACCCTTTTGTGGCTTACAAATACACTCTCTCTATGTGTATGTGAGTGTGTCTGTGCAAATACTGTTTAGGGAGGATGTGAGTTTGTGTGCTCAGCACTTCTCACTGTCACTTTGGAATAAATAAGTGTTTGGCTGTCCTATTGAGTCCAGTGTTGACGCTCTTCAGTCCAGGGCCACTACATGAAGACCAGCGGCCTAATCGTCCCACATTAGCAGCTACAGTCACCTCTTCTACAGATAATTAGATTACGTTCAATAATCTATCTCAGATTAGACATGGATTTTGGGAGGCTTCGATGCATGTTTATTTTAGCCAAAAGAAAGAACAAAAATGCAGCAGCACATTCAGCGAAGTGTACAGGAGCTCGCTGCCTCCTGAAGCCGCACACAGCGCTCAGAGACGGTGTTGTTTTGTGGGTGTCCTGACAGAACACTCCCATTTGGAAAAGATATTGGCACCTCAAGTATTTCAGCTCACAAGAAACAGCTGTTCTTGTGGTGGCCCTGTGACCCTGGCCTGAGCCAGATGATTTTTAAACTGTGCTCGTAGTCAGACCACCAGAATAGGCACTTCAACCGAGAAATAAACATATTAAAAGGCAGAAAAATGTTACATTTTTTGATGTCTAAAAATCTGCATATTCTCCACATATCCACAATTGACAGAAAAGACAGGACCAACGCTACTTTGCGATGAGGAGGAATTTATCCACAAAAACCGGGCGTATCACAGTGAACACATTTGGAAAGGTTAGTCGAGATATTATGCAACTCAATTACTGAACTTTGCAGGGCACAGGAGGTGTAAACCAGCCTAATTAATTGAAGTCAACGCTCCCAGAAAGTAAAAGTCCCCTCAGGAGATAAATCCCAAAGAGGACGCACTAAACCTTCGCTCATAACGCACGTTTTTTCCCCATTTTCAGAAAGTCCGACAGTGGCGAAAAATGACACACAGCGTTAAAACCACGAACAAACTCTTAATTAGCAATTTACCAAAGGTCGCCCATGATTTCCAAAAAGCGAATCTGAATCACCAGATGCTTACCTCAGGTTAACGCAGGAACATTCAGCATGGAAACGTTTTTGGACTTGATTCCCCAGAGTCCTTGGAAGAGCTCAGAGTGTCCAAGGACTGCGAGAGTGTGTGAGCTTCCAGTAAAGCCTCCCCTCTTCTCTCTCTTTTTCTCCCGACTTTCTGGCAAGACGCGCTCGGATGGAGAGCACTGAATTCTTCACAGAAACCGATACTTTATCCTGTTTCACAAGTGCTGTTCCATGGCGCTTTACTTCAGAGTCACGTTTGCGCAAACGGTGACAAAATTGAACCCCATGTTCGGGCTGTGGAGTCCCTCAAAGCCCCTGGAGTTGGTTGCACACAGCCAATTCGGGAATGCACCCCCCCTTCTCCTTCTCCTCCTCCCTCCCTCCCTTTCTCCACAGACTGTGGACCACCCCGAAACAGGAAGTTCACTTTTTGTTTTTCTTAAAAAAGGGACCACGCTGCCTCAGTTTTCCCCCCTCAACGTTAACGTGTGCACTACAGATTGTCCAGCCGGGCTCACATACACCCAATTCTCTCGCACTTTTTCTTTGAGAGTAAAATGCCAATAACCAGCATTTATAGCGAGTATAGCGACGTTATATATAAGACATTACATCATGCATATGTTTATGAAATACTTGCATGGGCACGGCTAAGTCTATATCAAGTGCGTTCCTATCTGGTAATTGGGATAATCTATCTATAAATGTTTACTTTAATGGTGTAACTTCATAGCAGCCTCTCGGACAGCGTGTGTGGCAGGCTACGTGTGGGGATGCTGCTGCAGAGCCTTAAGTAAAATCCACCACAAAACCTGGACTGGAGTTCCAGGACCAGCAGCCACTGTGCAGAAGTGGAAGAAACACTTCACTCCTTGAGTGAAAGTAGTAATACCACAGTGTAGGAATATTCTTTTAAAGTCGTGCATTCAAAATGCACTTAAGTAAAGGTACAAAGTTATCCGCATCAAAAGTAAGAGTAGTCATTATGCAGTGTGGCCCATTTCATAAGAATGTGCGTTATATTATTTTATTATAATTACTGATCCACTAATGTGTCCTTTACGTTAATATTACGGCTGGTTAAGTATAGAGCTGATTATAATTGCGTTATACTGCTGCGACGTTACCCTCAAAGTCTTATCTTAATAAACAAGAATACATTTAGTTGATTATATTTTTATATTATCTAAAGTTGTCTGATAAATGCAGTGCAGTAAAAAGTATAATATTTCCGTGAAGTATAAAGTAGCACAAAATGGAAATACTATACGAATAACTCAAAATTGTACTTAAAGGGTCTCTATTTGATATTCATCGCATTAATATTACAGCAAACGACTTTTGCTATGTGAAGATTTAGCGGAGTAATGTTTACCTGAGCAGAGAATGAAGTGTGTGTGTGTGTGTGTGTGTGTGTGTGTGTGTGTGTGTTTTGTTAATCCGAACTTCTCTGTGCTTTGTTTACGTAGCCGGGCCGTCCGTGCATGTGAGTGTGCCCCACTGGCTGGCCCTGGGCTGCAGCTCTGCACTGCTCTCATACGGTGTTACAGCAGACAACGCCGTCCATCCTCCGGCTCCTCCTCAGGTAGGTACACACTGTTGGCTCTGTCAGCACTTAGATTGCACCATAGAAATGGTTTGCACTGTTAGCCTGTTAGAGCCGCATTGAGAGCCATTGGGAGGCAGTCAAAATGCTCCCAATCAAGTACAGTAGCACCTTTACTTACTTTGGTAAATGCGCTTTCCTCAGGTCCACAGCATTTTATTTCTGTTTTATAACACATGCATGCAATATATGCACAAACAAAACTGCACAAACATAAAGAATATTAATCACATTAACATTTTACAATACAATGTTATATAATTGTGGTGCCATAGTTAGTCACTTGTTGGTTGTGTATTTTGCTAGCCTTGGATTCAGGGATTCAGGGCTTAAAACCCAGACGCCCAGGGTCCTAACGTTCTTGCTGTCAATTATTTGATTACATCAAAATTTGTTAAGAGAATTTGCACAATTGAAAAAAAGAAGAAACTGAAGCAAGTCTTGCAATAGACTGTCAAAATGTAGTTCTAACACCTGAACTATTTTAGTGAACTATTGTTCTATGGGTGCATATTCTTTAATACATTTGTGCTTACTTGGAGTATGACAAACTATTTGACACATAGAGCCAGGCTCTGTTTGTATATAATGACGCGGTCATGTTTAGTCCGCTGTGTGCACTATACTAAATAAGAACTCGGAGGCAACAGTTTACACACATGTGTACACAGGGTGGCAGGTGAAGGGTCAAAAGCGGCTCAGCATCAGGTTTTTTCCTCTCTAATCCAAACACGCTTGTAGTATGTTAATGTCTTCATGCTATTAACTGCTTGTGGCTGGATGACTTGCAAGTTCATCCCAAGGTAAGGCAGTACTTTATGATAATTTTAGGTATTTCCTACGTGTTGTCTATTGAGTTATAAAGTTCAGAAACTCATTTTAGGCTTGTGTAATTTTGGTCACTTAATAATGTCTTACTCAGTGTTTGATCGTATTGAACCCTCTCGTGTCATTTCAGGTTGCAAAAACCAAGATGACCACGGCCAAAAGGACAAACTCAAGGCTTCAACACTGCAACAAAGCAATGGGTGATGTCACGGTGACTGCGTCTACTTCTTATCTATCGTCTAGGGTTTCGGTCTCATGACACATCTATCGGCATGGAGCACTTTTACTTCAAAGTAACAATTAAAGTGGATTGAATGTGTGAACAGTTGGTGACCTGAACCAAGGCAGGAGTCCATTGAGAACATATGGGCAGTGGCTAAATCAGGTTTTGTCAGTGAGAGTTGTGGGCTTTAGTCCTGCTGTATAGCAGCCAAGCAGGGATATCTTGGACATAAATCGGCCCACAGATGATGGAGCCATATGCTTCATCTAACTGCAGAGAGAATCCAACACATGCTCCACTCCAGATTATCAATGGGAGGAGATTAAAGGTGAAGCAGCACATCTAGTGAGCCTAAATATAGATGGCTTTATTGGATTGTGTCAGACATGGAGATTTGGAATTTGACGTTTTTTCCCATAATAATCATTTGAATTATTCTTTTTAGAATAACGTATGCAATTTACGCAACACAAGTTTTTCCTTGAAACTCTGTACCTCTGTAATCAAAATACAGTTGTCTCTGTTGAAAGCTTTGTTAACTATGAAATACTGAAAAAAACCACTTCTAAATAGTATTAAGTAATACAATATATAAGTATATAAAGAACCTCAATATGAAAGAAAAACAGTTCACTCTGATAATATCTTCATTAGTAGTGCACAGAGAGTTATTTTGACCAGAGGATTTATATATAAAGCTGTTCCCTGTAAGGTGAATGATAGCCTTAAAGCTGCATTAATTGACTGCTTTATCCACTCGGACACAGAAACACAAATGGGACATACAGTATTATTAGTACCTTAGTTGGACACAATTGACTTTACACATCCAGCAGCAATAGAATTCATTTAAAGTCGTGATTCTGTCCTGACAAATGGAAGTCCAATATATACTGTATAGGTATCCAACCCTGAAGAAAATATCTAACCTCTATGTTCACCAGCTTGCAGAAAACTTAATCTGTCTGATTGAAAGTGCTGGCCAGTCGGTTTGTTAGAGGGGTTTTTTGTGCGACAAACAGCTGTCTCCTGCAGCTGCAAATGAGATTACAGTGAAATTGTGGGCTAGGTCTGTCTGTAGAGCAGTCACACCACACCTGTAAATATCTATTCAACCGAGCCACTCCTTTCATATTACACTTAGTAAGTTGATAAATATTGATCGCTGCAGCTTTAAAGTACAAAACAAGGATGTTTCCAAATGCAATCTAACGGAGAGAAAAATATCAAACGGCAACTTTAGCCATGCTTCCTTTGATAGATACCCAGAAGAAATATTGCTGTGTTTGCAAAGACCAAAAGGTATTTCTCAATGAAGCCTAGAGAGGAAAGGTGAATGGGACATAAGTATACCTTCCAGATGTCTTCCTCTGAAGCTCATAGAGGGCTTACGGCACAAGAGGGATTAGAAAGAGCTAAAGTGAAAGCAAAAGCTGTCGACCAGAGCCGAGAGCTGTAAATGAGATGATTCTTCATTACTCATCGCTTTATTTCTTGAAACCTGGCCTGAGCATGTTACCACAATATCTTTCGCTGTCCTGAACCTTTTAAGCCCAAAGCTTCGACCTTTTTCAGTCGAAGCAATTAAGTGGTACTGGTGATTGCTTGCACTTCTGAAAAATACTTTTACTTAATCTGCTGTGAGTTGTATACTGTATATTGATATGACAAGATGATATATTCCCATAATTGTCTTGCCAGAATATCCATGAAGCGTAGATTAAACACAGTAGTATTTAACAGTAGCAAAAGTATAATTAACTCTCTAATGAACATTAAAGAAAGAGTTATACAGGTGGAGGGTGAAGGGGCCATCCAGGTCCAGGTTTAGAGTATTTAAAGCCACTAGAGGACACAGAGAAACGTGCACGTTAGCCGAGGCAGAGAAAGCAGGTGCCACTAAGACTCTGGGCAGCTGGACACCATAACCCCGTGCAGCAGAATCCACAAAATCTTTTATAGGATTTGTTTTTCCATTGCAGATGGTCCTTGGCACACGTTTTATTCCCATTGGTCCGGGGTCCCAGGCTTTCAGTGCTGCAGCCCAGCAGGTACAACACATAAGGGTGCTGTCTGCCTGCACCAGGTTTCACCTCAGGCCTTGCACACTGAAGAGAGGGAACTTGGAGTGCAAGAGATTGAACAATTCAAGAGGAGGAGCAGTTCTGCAGGACAGGTAAGAGTTGCACAGATTTCTTATTGTAGCTTACCAAGAAATCCAATGCATTGTTTTTGCAATGAACGCTCATTTAAATGTATTCAATTTGCATGGTTGCTTGCATGTAGTTGCAGATTGTACAGTATTTGTGATGCATGTCCTACAGGTTGCACGGGGTAACTTCAGCATGCTTGCAAATCTAGTTTTATAGCGTGTCTTGTGTTGAGATGAATTCTGACTTTGCATTACTTCTACAATGACAGACAAACATGTTGCACCCTATATTTAATTAAAGATTTTGATTAAATCTCATGTCCAATTCAAATGCATGGCGCCATGTGACTTTTTCTATTATTGGGAACATTCTATATCTAAATGAAAATGCCAACACTATCACTCAAAGTATGCACTTAATATATTATATATTTTACTGACAAGTGGTGAATGTTCTGTTATACTTAACACTATTAATTACAGCTGGCAACATACAATTAGATTCTATGATTCACATGTGT